AACACTTCTAAATTGTGTTCTTATGTCATTGCCAGTTTTCTTACTACATGTTTTCCTCACATCAAAAGGTGTTGTGAGAACCATTGAAAAAATTAGGAGGGATTTTCTATGGGGTGGTTGTGAGGAAACTAGGAAAGTGCATTGTGTTAGTTGGGAGAGGTATGTAAAGGTAGACATGAGGGAGGTCTAGGAGTTAAGAGTATTAGGGCCTTAAATCTTTCTTTGTTGAGTAAGTGGTGGGGAAAGCTTGCTAAGGGGGACATGGGCTTGTGGGGTAGATTAATGAAGGAAAAATATGGTACTAGGAATGATAATTGGATGTCATGGGTGAAGGAGGGTAAAGGGAAGGGTTCTAGTTGGTGGAAGGATGTTTGTAGGACAGATGCATTGGGAGAAAATAGAAATGGGTGGTTATCAAATGGTTTTGAGATAATAATAGGAGAGGGAGAAGAAATAAGTTTTTGGTGGGATTCATGGTGTAAGGAGGGTGTCCTAGCTCACAGATTTCCAAGGCTTTATAAGCTTTCTGGAGGTATGGACTACAAAATAAAGCAAATGGGAGTTTGGATTAGGATAAATATGGTGCTGGACTTTACCATGGAGACATTGTTTGCTGGCCAGAGAATCCCAAGAAAAAGATGAATTAGAAAAGGTGTTGGAATCGACTAAACTAAATCAAGAATGAAAAGACAAGTGGAATTGGAAATTTAGCATGGATGGTTGCTACACAACAAGATCAGGACATTCCATTCTTACTGCCACAAAGGAGAAGAGTCATAAGTTTCTCTTTGGAAGAGTATGGAGTTCAAACGTCTCAAAAAAGGTGTGTGGTTCTAGCTAGCAACAACTTTTAAATAGAGTACCCGCTAAAACCAATTTATTCAACAAAGGCATCATCAAGGATCCTGCAGAATTGGTATGCTACCTTTGCTAGGAACATATGGAAGGTTGTGATCATTTATTTCTTACTTGTAAAGTCATTGTCGAAATCTAGAATAAATGCTTGAATTGGTGGGGTGTTCAAACTGTATTGGCTAGTATTGTTTGGGATGTCTTTATTAGCCATGATGCTATTGCGGTGTCCAAATGAATGAGGATCGGTTGGGAGTTGGTGTGGTTTGCTTTGGTATAGACTATATGGCTCACTCCAAAATGAGATTTTGTTCAACCATAAAGTGGTACGTGGATATAAATAGTATATTTGATTTAGTTCAAGTAAAGCCCTTTCATTGGTTGACAAACAGAGGAAAGGTTTTGAGGTATTGTTTTTCATATTGGCTCCTCAATCCCCATCTATGTAATGTTGGTGCTTAAGTGCATGGGTACATTAGTACTGTAAATGTTATGTAAATGGGTTTGAGTATCCTTTATACTCAAAAATAAAAGTTTTTTTTGTCTTTTTTTTTTTATGCAATAAATAAACTTCCAATGGTGGAGACATATTATCTTAGGCTTTTGAATTTGGCTTGGTATTTTAGGTGGAGGAAAATTTTGGATTTTTATACAACAAAGATGCTTTATGCAAGGGATAGAGCACTGGAGTGCTACTTTTGGATAATGGGAGTTTACTTTGAGCTTAAATACTCCTTAGGAAGGATCTTTTTGACCAAAGTACTAATGTTGACATCCATTCTAGATGATACTTTGGATGATACTTATGATAACTATGGGACAATTGAAGAGCTTGATCTCTTGACCAAGTGTATTAAAAGGTTTTATTCTGAACTTTAACAACTAATTTAGTCAAAGTATTAGAATATATTCACATATTTCAAAAATTGAATTCATATTTTTGATCCTTGACTTTTAGGTGGGACATTAATGTCATAAATCATCTTCTAAAATACATGAAATTTTTAGGCATTTTTAAACGTTTATGGTGAAATGGAAGCAGAGGTTACAAAAGAAGGAAGATCATATGCTATGGATTATGTGAAAGAGTCCATAAGTAACTAATTGATATATGATTGGATTAATTTATGTTATGGGGACTTTGGATTCTTTGTTAATTTCATGTGTAAATTAATTTCATGAATAGATGAGT